GTCTCTCTCTGTCAAATAAATAAATAAAAATCTTAAAAAAAAAAAAAAGATCCCTTAACAGAATCCTTATAAAATTGTTTATCAAACTCCATTAAAAGAGTTTTTCATAGGAAAAAGCAGGTTTATACTAGGAAGTAACTGTTACTATTTAAATTTACTTTGGTTTGTTTACTTTTTACAATCTTATTGGATGCCCTTTATATGTATCACTAATTTATAAATTTTAAATGGCATTTTAAAGGCTCCTTTATCTCTTAATTTATATTTTATTGCATTGTAATTGTTTAACTTTTTCTTTTCAGGGAGATATAATAGATACTTTGCTTGGACCCAAGTCAAACCAACAAGGATAATTCATCATTACTAATATTTTCTCTTGTTGATGTTTAAAGAAAAAGAAACAGTATTTAATGTCCAGTAATCCAATTTGTATGCAGTAAGCTGGGATTTTGATGTTAGAAAATGATATTTGATATATAACCTCTATTTTAACTTAACAAATTTAATAAACTTCTATTTCAGAGATATGTGATTAGTTTGAGATCTAGGCTAATTATAAGAGTTCTGTTGGGATTTTCTTAATATTTTTAGTTATATTCCAAGTACATATAACTACATATGTGTACTTATGAAATATCCAAATAGGTTAGAAAATTATTCCATTAGAAGCAAAGCTTGGAAATTATTAGAATTACTTAGACCAAAAATCTTTACAAGATGAAGTTCCATAGACTTTTAAATCTTCTGCTTTCCAAGATCTATCTTCCAGAGTTTATGAATTATGCATGTGTTAGTGTTATGAGAATATTGGATTCTCACACCCAACTTTAAATCAGAATTTTATCTTCTTAGATTTGAGAGCTGAAGCTATGAAACTTTATTAGACTATCTGACAAGCAAAAGACATGACAGAAAATGTTGAAATTGCATTGTTTAGCCACCAGGCATCACACTCCCAATTCAGTGAGAAGAGTTAGTCTGGGACACATGGGAGCACCCTCCTCTGCATGCCCCAAATCTGCTCTGGGTTTTAAGCCCCGACTTGAGTGGGCCCAGAGAGAAAATAGAAAGTCCTTGCTCTATAGTTGGCATCAGGATGTTATCTTATGAAGGGTTCTAGAGCTAGCTTGTGGATACAGGAGGAGTGGGAGGTAGCAACTCCCCCAAACAGATTGCTAACAGCCTATCCCATGCTGTTTGTTAGAACAAGTCCTGCGTTTTGTTAACTGAGGCCATAGGACAGTATGACCTGTTCTGTAAAGCATTCTAAGTGGAGAGGAGAGGATAAGGCATTTGAAACTCACTAAACTCTCTGGAAAAAAAGTATGTGTAAAACTAAGAATGGAATCTGTGCAACAGTAGAAACTGCCTTTTATAAGTGTCCACTTCTTCACAATCTCCTTTTCTTTGGAGCCATCCTTTAAACAAAAGTAAGGTGATTCTCAGGTGGATTGAGAGCTTAGATCAGGTAATAATTATAAATTTTCTGCTGATATAAATCATTGTGGTTTATCTCTTTGTCTTTCTGAAAGGTTGGATTTTCCATAACACTCTGTGTAACAAAATAAAAACTTGATTTAATTGAAAAAATGTTTCTTTTTATTATGTATTTTTGACTTTCAAAAATTTTCACATATTCTACCATCACTGCTCATCAAACCTAAATGAAAAATAAAACTATTTTATTATTCTTAGACCCTGGGCAACTGATCCTGAAGCACTGGACCTATTCCATTTTACCCTTCTCACTCCTGATCTTATAGGCTCTCCCATGCTTTTAGATTAGCATCAATTTTTATTTTACGATCTTTCACCTTGGTGTTACAGAAGGAATTATTTTGCTGGCTTTCTGGGCTGGCTTTGGATTCTCACTAGTAAACTCTATTTCCAATAAAATACTTTTAAAAATTTAGGATTTTTTGGCTCTTTTAGGTTTATAACAAAATCAAAAAAAGGTATAAGAGATTTCCCATATACTCCTTGCCCCACCAATGTATAGCCTCTCCCATTATCAAAAACACTCACCAAAGTGGTACATTTGTTACAATCAATGAGCCTGCATTGACACATCCTAACTACCCGAAGTCCATAGTTTACGTAATGGTTCACCCTTAGTGTTGTATATTCTATGGGTTTGGACAAATGTATAATAACCTATATCCAAATTATAATATTATATAGAGCATTTTCACTGCCCTAAAAATCCTCTGTGCTCTGTCTATTCTTTCCTTCACTCCCCAGTCCAGCAATCACAGATCTTTTACTGTCTCAATGGTCTTATCTTTTCCAGAATGTCTTATAATTGGAATCATAGTGTATATAGCCTTTTCAGATTGGCTCCTTTCACTTAGTAATATGAATTTAAGGTTCTTCCATGTCTGTTCATGGCTTTATAGCTCATTCCTTTTTATTGCTGAATGATATTCCATTGTCTGGATATACCACAGTTTATCATTCACCTACCGAAGGACATCTTGGTTGTTTCCAAATTTTGGCAATTATAAATAAAGTTGCTATAAACATCTGTGTGCAGGATTTTGTGTGGGCATACGTTTTCAACTCCTTTGGTTAATACTGAGAAGCATGATTATTGGATTGTATAGTATGTTGTTTTGCAAAAAGATAAAAACCCCAAATTATCTTCCAAAGTGGCTGTACACAATTTTTCATTCCCTCCATCAATGTATGAGAGCTCTATTTTTCCATATCCTTACCTGCTTTGGTATTGTCAGTATTCCAAATTTTGGCTATTCTAATAGATGTGTAGTAGTATCTTGTTGTTTTAATATGTTTAATATGCATTTCCCCAATGATAGAATTTTAAGAATTGAATGAGAGGGGCGGCTGGGTGGCTCAGTTGGTTAGGTGACTGCCTTCGGCTCAGGTCATGATCCTGGAGTCCCAGGATCGAGTCCCACATCGGGCTTCCTGCTCGGCGGGGAGTCTCCTTCTCCCTCTGACCTCCCCTCTCTCATGCTCTCTCTCTCTCAAATAAATAAATAAAATCTTTAAAAAAAAAAGAATTGAACAAGAGTTCTGCTTAGTAGTTAGCCATCTCATTTTATCCTTCAAACACACACACACACACGTACACCCCTAATGGACTAATTAGGGGCCTAAAGAAGGAGTAGGGACTGGCCTGACTTTAGACTCCTATTTTGTGCTGGGTATTCTTTGCTTTATTTGGTTATTCTCTACCAGGCATCTCTCACATAGAACTTACATTATCGTTGTCTGTGAGTAAGTTGTTAGCTGCTCTTGCAACTGTTGTAGGGAAGGAATATTGTATTCATGATATAATTGTGTATCATAGTGTGTTCATTTGGTTCACTTCTATGTAATTACATACAATTACAAATGAGAAGTTGGACACTTAGTATTTGTCATTTTGTCTCAGTAAAAGTCTCCCTAAAAGAAAATGTTGAATTGTACTGTGAATAGATTTAGTTATCAACAACACACTTGTAATAATGTACATGTTAAAGTCCTTTACAGTTTGTAGGACACTTTCACATACATTATCTCATTATACCCTTCAGCAGTCCTATGAGACAGATAGGGAAAGTAGTTGTAATATTATTATAATCTCTATTTTCCAGGTAATATAATTAAGGCTTAAATAGGTGATGTAACTTACCAAAAACCATACATCTGGTAACTGGTCAGGCTTAAACTCAAGCCCAAGGCTTTGAGAAGTTCTTAAACATTTTTCACTATTGTGAAGTAAATGGTTAATGTCTATATAGTTTGTTGAGGTCTCATAAACAAAGCACAACAGTGTATATTCTTCTATAATTAGGCTTTGTCCCTAAATGATAATGCTTATAACTTAGTTTTTCAGTTTTCTCCTGCCATCAGACCTTGCCACATGTATCCCTTTGGTTAGGAACACGCTCCTTCCCATCCCTCACTCCCCTTCAACATGTTAACTCTTCACTCCCCGCCCTTCAGATCTCAGTTCATATCTCATCTTCTCAAGAGAGCCCTTTCTGAGCTCCCTCCTACAGGACCTGCCCCCCAGCCAGTCTAAATTTACTCCAAGTATCTTAAACATAAAGGGAAATGTGAAGTTTCTATGGGGCTAGAAGAGGTGGGGAATGAGGAAAAGAGAGAGTCCTAATGAATCCATAGAGCGAGGGGACCTATGTCCTGCTTCTAAATAACATTCTTCAGGAAGCAGAAAGGCCTATATAGGAAGGAATACAGTCAGCCTCAGAAAAACCATTCTCCATGTAATGAGTGATGTGTAGAAGCAGCAAAGACCACTGGAACCAAAAAAGCCAGGCAGCTGAGGATGATTAATGATCTACTAAAAAGCAACAATTTGATGATAGAAGGGCCTTGTCAGAGAGTAAGATGCTAGAATTACATCCTGGGAAAGGGAAGGAAGCCAAATCTGAGAGAGAGTGTTACTAACTTTGTGTGTATATCGTTTGTTTCTGCCAGCAGGGTGGAATGAAGACTTAGGGCTAGAAACTGAATTATAGAATGTACATTTCTTGGACACCCAAGTTTCTGAATTGAGATTCTCACCTGCTGTGCTAAATATTGGTGTGATTATTTGCTTAGTGTCTGCCTCCTCCCCTAGACTGTAAGCTCTCTGAGGGTAGGGACTATGTGTTTTGTTCTCCACAGTATCTCCAACACCTAGAACACTACCTCCACAGAGGGGTTATTGCAACAAATATTTGTTGAATGAATGAGTGATCGAATTAATGGGAGAAGTGTTGGCTTCATGCATACCCCATATTAAAATATGATTTAGGGGCGCCTGGGTGGCTCAGCTGGTTAAGCGTCTGCCTTCGGCTCAGGTCATGATCTCAGGGTCCTGGGATCGAGTCCCGCATCGGGCTCCCTGCTCCTTAGGAGCCTGCTTCTCCCTCTGCCTTTCTCTCTCGCTCTGTCTCTCATGAATAAAAAAAAAAAATTAAAAAAAATAAAATAAAATAAAATATGATTTAGTATTTTAAGTATGATTTCCTTAATATCCTAACAAGATATCTTAACATCCCACAGAGGGTAAAACATTTTAACATCACAGAGGGTAAAACATTTGATTTGAACATAAAATCAAACAGAACATAAAATCAGCCTTGAAAATCAGCTAAACATAGGTCATAGTTTTCTTTGCTCTATAACAATATAAAATCAATTTTCCACCTCAAGACAAAAACTGAAAACAAATTTATGATGACTTTCTTTAGGTGAATATTACTGCTACTTTTGAGATTGCGTTTCCACTGACTGGTGCAGTTTATCTCCAGTATAAAGCACTTAACACAATGCCTGGCACAAAGTAGGTACTCAAAAATGGTAGTTGTCATTCTGATTATCCCAGACCACATTCCCGCTTCTTGGTCCGAGAACCTCTTTGCCCTTTGCAGCTGGCTAAGTCCTTGCAAGACCCTGCTGAAAAAACCAGACACAAAGCCCAAATAGAACAAAGGAGATCATTAGCACAATCTGTGTCTCCCGAAGGATTTACTGCAGTGTTCAAGTCTACCCTCAAATCCATAGAACATTTACTAGGCTATTAGCCCT